CCCCCCAGACTCCAGAAACTTTCAAACAACTGCATGGCGCAGCCTAACAAAAACATGACGATATATTTAAAAGGCATCTTTACAAAAAGAAAGGTCGTTTATTAATTTTCACACACACACACACACATATTAAAAAATGGAAAATCTGCTTACTGTTAACTAATCACACCAGTAAATATTCGATGTAAAAGGAGTGCAGAATGCAGAAAAAACCTTTCTGACAAATTCAAAGTGAGAATAAAAATGTATGAGCAGACCACATACCCTCTTTATCCTGAATCTTTGCTTTGACATTTTCAATAGTATCACTGGGCTCCACCTGAAATGTAACAATAAAAAATTAAAAAATATATAAATAAAAAATTGTCCTAACAAAGACAGAAGACAGAAAGTCTTCTTGGATCAGAATTTTTGTGGTAGGGGTAGACAATCCTCATTTCGATGCCTCCGCCATAGACTTAAAACACTTTCCTATCAGCTGCCGATTCTCAGTAAGTCTAAAACTGCAAATTCTCATGATTACTTGTTTCCTAGGTACAAATGTCTCTGAAAGGACCGGATTATTCAGGTCACCTTATTTAAAATATAATCTTGAAAAAACTACACCCATGACTTCTGAAAAAACCAAAAATGCAAGCTGACATGAAATCTATAACAGGTAAGCCACCACTATACATACAATTAAGCATTCGCTGTCATGTTATTTCTAGGCCCCATCATAAAGGTGAACAGAAACCAAAAAGATGGTGGGTACTGGCCAAGTACCTCCCCCCCCCCCCCTCCAGCTATGTACAGACATATAAAGCCAATTCAAAGTCTTTGATAATATTTCACTTTCACAGAAAGAAATTACCTCAAGGGTGATTGTCTTGCCCGTGAGGGTCTTTACAAAAATCTGCATTTTGCCACCTGTGATAATAAAAACACAATAGGGGTAAGAGATTGAAAACAAAGTAAAAACATGTTAGTATGAGTTTTACTGCTTGCATTTACTTGCAACCCAACAAGGCAATATAAATGTCGAACAATAGATATGTTATAAGAGAGTAACAGACTTTACGGAGGAGAGATGAGGACGATACATGTTTGATAGGAAAGAAGGAGAAAACTACACCAGAGCACCTGCCAACATGCAAAAACAGGAAACAAATTAACTTGCTTTTCACTAATATCACTTCATTGGAAATATGGCTTGGAAGAAACACAAACAGTACCCGAATGCTAGCGGGTAAACTATGTGAAGTAGAAGAACTACAGAAAAAGCGCTGATGGCAGTTACTATAAATAGGGCATATTGACCAAAGGCATTCAGTCTGGGTTTTTTTTTTGGGGGTGGGGGGGATTTAGTAGTTTTTAAAAGTTTTAGGTAAGGGTTTATGGCGCTCACAACTGCATAAGGTCATATAAGCGCCAGAAGATTAGAGGTGTTACAAGAGAGTAACAAACATAAAAAAGAAGAAGGGGGGAGATAAGGACGGTAGATATTTCACAGCAAAGAAGAAGCAAACCACACTAGAGCACCCGCCAATCACCCACTTAGTAGAGGTTTTACGGCACTCGCAACTGCATAAGGTCATATGAGTGCCAAGGGGTAGATCTCAACAGAGAAGTCCTTACAGGGAATCAGACTTACTCTGCTCACCTCTCTAGCTTCAACAGCGCAAAGTCTGCTTCGACTTTCAAGGCACCCCGGAAATAGCGGGTCACAAGAGTGTGAAAAACATACAAAAGTAGTAGAGGAAATGGTGATAGTAAGGATCAGGAAAGAAAAAGCAGCAGTCCCCTGTGGAAGATCAGGCAGTTATGAGGGCATGAATGAGAAATGTCCCCCTTTTGGGAAAGGCCTAAAGACACTTCAGTCAGTGGCACCGCCCCCTGGGGGTGGCGTTTAGTCTTAAGTTGTCGTTCTCTAGCTATACGCTTGTAATTACAGTTAGGCCTAATAGCCTACCCAGATCTGCACCGTATGTTTTATTCACATTTGCTGAACTTGAGAAATAAAATCATAAGGGTTGGTCTAGCCTTTTGGCTATTCTCATCTGGTGTGCCTTCACCGAGATAGTCTTGGCCAACCAGTGTAGCGTCCACGTGTTGAAAGCGTGCTATTTTGTTTGTGGGCAGTAAGGGTGAAAGAGAGAGAGAGGAGTAGTGCGAGATCTTCCGGGCTAAACAAAATGGCGAGCCACGTAGTTTGGCTCCATTCGAAAGTTAAACAGCCGTAGCATCTTTGTAGACGGCCAAATTAATTTACTTTTGTGTTTTAACATCATTTTTTTATCTTTGTTTTTGTCGATTTGATTGCCTACACCGATACAGTATTCAGAAAGAGAGAGTAGGAGAGTAGACCTTGCAAAAACTTCCAGGCAAAACAAAATGGCGACCTGCATAGTTCAGCTCGATTCGAAAAGTGAAATAGCCATAGTATATTTGTAGACGACCAAATTAGCTTACTTTTGTGCTATGTCATTTTTTCTTTGCTTTTGTCAATTTGATCATCCACACCGTTAGTATTTTGAAATTAGGAAAACAGGCCTTGTTTCAAATCGGGTGAGAATAACCAACGCTGGCAAGTCTCACCCTGGGGTGAGAGGTCGATCGTATTTGTATTCTCACCCAGTGGGAGGATAGCCACTTCCCTAACCGTAATCCAACAATCTAATAAAGTATAATAGGTGCAGATCGAGACCTAGATCTATCTGGGCCTCAGATTGAGAATATCAAAACTGCTCAGGTTAATAACTCACTTGAGACTGGGCCTTTTTCAGGTCTACATACGTTGAAGACTGGCGTCTTTGGGCTATTTTAATATTTCCAACAAGACCTTTCTCAAAGTCAGACACAACCACCATTTTTACACACATTAACAGACCTTAATATGCCCAACATGACACGAAAAAACAGGAAGGCAATCTTATATAGTTTTTTAGAAACCCTTTTTGAAAATGTGGTAAAATTTGTTGCTCGCCAAATTTGTTTGGACGTAAAGTTTTATATAAAAAAACCAAAAAAACCCCACCCCAACACCATTTAACCCAAATTAATCTTGTGTGTGCCTTTTATTGTGTTATCTGTCTCAAAATGAATAAAAAGTCCAAACCCTAGAACAGGCAGGTAATATGGTAATCCTTATGATGTATTAGCTGTCTAACAAAGCGGAATTTTGCCTAGTCTAGATCTAGAATATTCGCCACCAGAATCAGTGCTTTGATGCTCATTTACATTGAAATCAGGACCCACATGGCCTAAAGTATAATAAGAATTTTCTGAACTGCCAAAGTTGTGCTAACACTGGAAAAATGTTTGCTTTTCGTGCTACTGGGTGGTTGGAGGGTACTCTGCTCCTTCTTTCCTATCAAAGATCTATTGTCCTGATCTCTCTTCCTTCTTTTTTTGGAAGAGGCTAGCCGTACTTATTCTGGTATTTTTTTTACTCATGCTTTGGACCAATCCCACTGGGGTAAACGAAAATCTGGGGGGTGTTACGGGGGGCATGCCCCCCCCCCGTTTTTTACTCATAATTTGATATTTTACAGTTAGATTTGAAAGTGTCTTGAAAATAATTGATTTGCGACAGTTTTAGTGGCTTTATGTGTGATCTGCAGCAAACAGTACTGCAGTTTGACCCCTGAAACAGTGCATCTGTCTGCGAGAGTGAAAGTAAAAATTTACCCTTATTCTTAAGATGATGGCTAGACTGACCATAAAAAAGGCCTACTGAATTGTAAATATATTTTTAGTTTGCAGTACCTAAAGTATTTGTATTTGAGACGAAACCAGGTGCCTTAATGACAGTGCATGTATTTTAAACATCCTGTTTTCTAAGGTTAATAGGGCTTAGGATAAGTATGGCTAGACTTCTTGGCTAGCCGTACTTTATGGCTGAATTGTAAATGACATTTTTAGTTTGCAAAACCTAAAGTATTGGTATTTCAGACAAAACCAAAAGGTGCCTTACTGACTTGTATTATGTAAACCCGAAAAACTTCTAGATCTAGATCTAATGAGACCTGTGTACTCAACAGGTTCGAGTCGATAGGACCAAACCTAGATCTAAGTAGTACGGCTAGCCACTTTGTCTTATTTTTTTTCGGTGTTTGTAACTCTTGCAACACCTAATCTTCATCCTTATTGGGGTAAATTTTTACTTTCACTCCAGCACACAAATGCACTGTTTCAGGGGTCAAACTGCTGTACTGTTTGCTGCAGATCACACATAAAGCCACTAAAACTGTCGCAAATCAATTATTTTCAAGACAATTTCAAATCTACTTGTAAAATATCAAATTATGGGTGTAAAAACAGGGGGGCATGCCCCCCTGTAACCCCCCAGATTTTCTTTTACCCCAGTGGGGCAGGCCCCCCTGGAACCCCCCGATTGGTCCAAAGCATGTCTATCTCGGTTAAAAACAATCAAATATTTCAAAAACCATTAATTTGCGACGGAAATGAAGTTGATATTCGTGTTCAGCGCATCAATATTTAGTAGAAAATAGACAACTGGTAGCTGAGTGTGAGACGGGAGGGAAAGTAAAAAAATACCCTTACTAAAACTAAAGGAAGTGGCTATTCTCACCCAGTGTGAAACAATACCTGTTTTTCCTCATTTCGGTATACTGTCTATCGGTGTGGATGATCAAATTGATAAAAGCCAAGAAAAAATTACGTTATAGCACAAAAGTAAGCTAATTTGATCCGTCTTCAAAGATGCTATGGCTATTTCACTTTTCGAATCGAGCCGAACTACGCGGGTCGCCATTTTGTTTTGCCCGGAAGTTCTCGCAAGATCTACCCCCCTTCTCTCTTTCTGAATACTGTCTATCGGTGTGGACGATCAAATTGACCAAAACAAAGTAAAAAAATGATTTTAAACAAGAAAACTAAATTAATTTGGTTGCCTACAAAGATGCTACGGCTATTTAACTTTCCGAATCGAGCCGAACTACGCGGGTCGCCATTTTGTTCTGCCCGGAAATTTTCGCGCTACTCCTCTCTTTCTCTCTCTCCACTGCCCACAGACAAAATTGCACGATTTTAGGCTAACACTAACAGTAGTAATAGATCTAGAACGTTTGTTCAACAGCAAAGATTTCTATAATTCTGTTATCACAGTAGAATTCTGTGGTTCAGGGTGAACGCTTCACTGGTTGGCCTAGGCTATAACGGTGAACGCCCACCGGGTGAGAATAGCCAAAAGACTCGGCTGCGCAATTCTCACCCAGGGTGAGAATAGAGGTGGCCAAAACTAAATGTGCTGCCATCATTCTGACAGAGTGTTGTGAGAACAGACACCAGTCAGAGAAATGAAAGTAGGACCTCAGTGTGACTAACTTTCCTAGCGGGTTGATAACTCCAAGTTACCAGCTAATTCTGGTAAAACTTAGCACGAAATAAAGGTTGGCGGCATGGTAAGAGGCCGTTCACGCGCATACTTTGCCGGGGAGAAAACGTCTCCAGTGAGTTAAGCCTGCCCATGTAGATCTTATCTAGATTAAAGTCACCCCCCTATTTACACAATCATAAGTCTCCATTCTTTGTTTCAGCGTTCCCAGGACTTGTTTAATTGGATAGATATTTCAATACAGCATCGGATGATAATTTACTTTTTAATAGCCAATTATACTTGAGAGATGTAATGACCTCGGATTGGCACATCCTCCTTCCGGAAGTTGCACATGGTAGAAAATCTCCATTTTATAGAGGCACCAGGCCTCATTATCGATCGTCCCATTCTGCTTGTCAACAACTCGAGGTCAAAGGTACGAAATAATAGGCTATGCACATTTTCATTAAAGTTTATTATTTCGTACCCCCTACTCTGTCTAGATATTAGATCTAGAATCTAGATTCTAGATCTATCCAATAACTCGAGGTCGAAGGTGAGAACACTTGCATACTCTTTCAAAGCTTCCTTTATCACTTCAGGCCCTGTAAGGGTTGGCATATTTAATTTCATATCCATGGGAAACTATCAGCGAGCTGAAAACGAAAGGGTACGAAATAAGGAACCATGTGGTACGAAATAACCCACACAGGCACAGTGACAGGGGCCTCATCATTCATGCTGAAAACAAGGAAAATTTGACTTAATAGTAATAGCACATAACATCGACTGGCCAAATGATAGATTTTGATGTAGAACTTGTAAGATTACAAAACTAAGCAAGAAACATGTAAGTATTTGTAAGCTGGTCGGCCTTGGCCCACCTCAAGACGGGAAATACGGGTACGAAATAGGGTGACTTTAGACTTTAGATTCCAAATGAAGTGAAAGCTTCAAATTATCAAATTCAATCAACCTCCCAGAGTCTTGATTGATAGCCTTATACCTCAAGACGGGAAATACGGGTACGACATAGGGTGACTTTAGATTCCAAATGAAGTGAAAGCTTCAAATTATCAAATTCAATCAACCTCCCAGAGTCAGCAGAGTCTTGATTGATTTGATAGCCTTATGGCCGACTATGGGCCATGGGTGCTTCAAAAACAAAGCTAGAACCTAGGGCTCCATATCCACCTTTCTAATTAAGACAGAAGGACGCAGAAAATGAGTTAGCCTAGATCTACTTCTTTCACGGCACTTCTGACTTCACTAGATAAAGGCTACACAACACAGACTGGACTCTACAGTACATGTCTACAGCCAACGGCACCGTCCGCACGGCACGGGGAGCACGTTGTTCACTCCTTGTTGATGATAGAGTCCAGCTTCAACAGTTAATTGACCACATTTTAAAAATAAAAGTATGCAATTAGTAGAAATATGAACATGGAGTAAATATGCAAAATACACCCACTTTAAAATGATAGAAAAATACACACTACTGAGCAAAAATGAAAGAATTAGCTAAAGTAAGACAGACAATAATCTCACCACTTTCGAAGGCAATGGCTGTCAAACCGGAAAGGCAAATATCTACGCATGTGCAGCCGATCTGCCAGTCACATTTTACAGAGGAAGACTGTAATTAAATTGGATTTTGAAAGCGTCAGGATAACTGTTGTCAAACTTGTATATTATCATATAATTTACCTTTAAAAAAATCAATATTCATTTTTAAACACAAATTATTATGATTTTCTCAAAAAGTCAAGGCATTATTAATTAATCTCAACAGTCAAGTATAACTATTTTAAAGTCCAGTCTGGCATACACGATAGGCAAGAAGAGCTTAATGAGGAAAATAGATCTACTAACGAACCCTCGTCTTATGCCTTGAGGATAAAAGGGAACGGGTGGAAAGGACAGTGGTTTTGAAAATATAAATGTTTGAAATGAGTTAATACAAATGATAGAAATTTTCACCTTAGAAAAAAGGACACCAATGCTGTTCATGTTTTCCCGAGAATTGGAGAGTATCGTAAAAATATGGAAACTCATTTTGACATTATTCTCAGAAAAACGTGTATGTAGCCTAGAAATACAGCTCGCTTCCGTCGAGCGGTTAACATAAAGTAGGTAGTCATATTTACCAAATATTATTTCGAGTAAATGATAATGAAATGCGCCTTGAACAGAGAAAAACAGTGTTTGGAAAACTGAGCGAGAGCCATAGGTAGACAGACTGCGAGAGAGAGAGAGAGAGAGAGAGAGAGAGAGAGAGAGAGAGAGAGAGAGAGAGAGAGAGAGACAGACAGAGAGACAGAGAGACAGACAGAGAGATAGATACATAGATAGATAGAGAGAGAGAGAGAGAAAGAGAGAGAGAGAGGGAGGGAGAAAGAGAGAGAGAGAGAGAGAGAGAGAGAGAGGGAGAAAGACACACACACACACATACAGGAAGACAGGAAAGAAAGAGACAGTGTGAGGTAAATCGGGATTAATAATTTAAGGAAGAAAAGCGAAAGGGAGGGCTGCCAAGGACAAGATTTTAAAAAACCTGGTTAATACACCAAGATCAACACTTTATAAATCTTTTAGCTTTAATATAGGCTTGGCGGCTCTCGCAACACGTTCATATAAGTGCAGAAGATCAGAGGCGTTACTAGAGTGTAACAAACATAGAAATGAAAGAGGACAACGACTTTATAAATTTTCATTTGCATATGCCATCTATAATATGCGTTTAAGAATCTTTTTACACTTACTAATCGTTTGCAAATCCCAGGACTTTGGAAGGGGGGGGGGGGGGGGGGGGGGTGTCAAACTTAAAAAAACCCCACACACATAGAATGCTTGGCATTTTACCGAAGGATAAAAACTGGGAGCCAAATTCTACAAGTGATATATAGGCCTATAGAGAAGCTGCTGTGGGTCGAATATCTTGCTATATTTTATTTGTGTTGTTTCATTTTGAAAATAAAATGTACTGTGCAATTCACAAAATTATGGTGCAATCAATTAGAACGTCAACTCTATGTACTATATATATATATATATATATATATTATATATATATATATATATATAAAATGTACATGTATAAGCGAGTTGTACATGTAGGTGGATGGTTGACGGGTGCTCTTGCGTGGTTTACTTCTTCTTTCAAATCCTTCTTTTTATGTTTGTTACTCTCTTGTAACACCTCTAAGCTTCTGTCGCTCAAATGACCTTTTATGCAGTCGCGAGTGCCGTAAAACCTCTACTAAAACAAACAAACAGTACATGAAGCGTACTAAAATATTTTGAACAAGTAGACAAAAGGATTCCATAATTTATTTTTTCCTTTCAAAATCTTTAACGTTTAGAAATAGTTATAGTATGGTTTTGCCGTTTTGTCCGCAAGTTTTAGAGATTTGAGGACAAATAAAGCGTGTATTGTTATTTTGCTAGTTCGAATCTTAAAGCCATACTCGTACGCTTCATCAATAACCAGAAATGAAGATGTAGTTTTGTTGAATATGTTGTCGAAATGAAGACATATAATTTTTAAAAAGGCACATTTTAGATATTAGTGATCAGTGATCATATACTTGCATGTTCTATGCCGGTACATAAAATCTACCTGGCCAGTTTGATGCCAAACGTCAACATTACAACAATGCTCAAAGCACAGTAGTGACAATAATACAATTATACACACTTCATTTCGAAGCCTAGCATAACAAGACAGCATCACAACATTGTATTATACATTAGTGTCATTGAATGTGTTTAAGCGACATTGTTATGTAATGGCGTCAAAAGTAAAAGTTACACGATTAGAATCCGAAATCGACAGATGCAGAGTAGAATGCAACTGGAAGAAATCTGTGGAGCTTGCAAAGCAGTTAACAGTCAAGTCAACGGACTTAGGTTTGTTTGGACTTCGTAGAATAGAGAGGGTGGAGTCAAATAACTGTAAACGTTGCTATTCATTATAATGCATCGAAAACCTGTCGAAGACGGAATCTTCCCAGCCCCCATGATAAATTCCTATGTAGTTAGTACATGATCTCTGTGTACTCTGTCAAAGTCGAACACAAAAACCTTCACCTCACGTCAAAATTCCTTGGCTCTGGCTTTTGGAAGATTTTGACCTGTGCTGTGGAAAGTGTAAGAGCAGGGAAAATACCTTGCCCGCTCAGGCTAAAGTCTACCCTTTCAATTTGAAACTGAATTCCCAAGATTGGTCAACCCACTCTAACCTTTGCCTTTACTCTACACCAAACTGCCTTTTTTGAAAAAGGGGGAAGGGGTGTGGTTTGAGGATGGCTGTTACCCCACCCACCCACCAGGAGCTGGAGAGGACAGATGCAGATGGTCAGGGTGGTGTGGGTGTGAAATCGTACTGCGACTTGTCTTCAAAGTGCTCCAGTGGTATACTAGTAGTATACTAGAAATGCTAGAATGAAAACGTTTCCAGGTAGTCAGCCAGAAGTGTGAAATTAGATCTGATTGGATAGGAATAACACTTGGTTTGTGTGTTTTTACAATGAGTAAAGAAAAGCAAATCAATACAATAATGGTCATTTAGTTTAGGGGAAAAGTAGACAAACAGAAACAATGGAAGAAAAGAAGTTTGACCTGTCAGTGGTGCCCTTCAACCACCTGCATAGCGCTTGGGAGATTTCTGAAGTTTGATCCCTGTTTACTAGGCCAGGGCAAGATCGACTCTGGGATCGATTCTTTCGAGTCCAAATGAGGACTCAAAGAATCGATCTTGTTCCCAGACTCTAAGCTT